AAGTGAAACTGTAAGAAATATTTTCTACGAAGTGTACATTGACCTAGTTTTCTTTTTTTGTACTAGACAGTTTTTCGAAAAATAAAATACTGAGTTTAAAAATTAGTATCAGATGCTTTAAGAGGAAAACAAAAATTAGTTTAAAAGTCTTTGGATTCTGACTGAGAATATCCATGTTTTGTTTCTATTACTTTAAACGAGATAAATTCTTACAACTCAGAAGGTGACTAATGAAACCCAATGAATTTTTGTTGTGTGTATGTTTGTAGTAATATGTATCAAAAATTTTATTTTGGATTCGTTCATCAACAGGACATTTTTAAAAATAAAATATCAAAATTCTGAAATATCACGAAATACATTAAAAAGAGCTCTCGATTAAATAAAGAATATATGAATTAGAACTAAATCCAAGGCAACGTTTTTAAAACGTAAGAAGGTTTTAAAAATAAGATGTTGAGCTATATAATTTGTGTAATAATTTGATTGAATTAAGCTATAATATGTATTACCATAACGTTTTCTATAATTTTAACTATGATTTATTACTCTAATATATTATTTTTTAATTTATCATCGTTAACTTTATTTTTTTAATCAAAAAGCAAAAACATTTTCCAAAATTAAAAAAAAAAAAGTTTTTTTCATCATAATTTAAAAAAAAAAAAATAAAAACATGTTACTTAAAAAATGAAGAAGTCAGTAGTTTCTGCTCTTAATTTCGAGTAGAAGTAACTTGCTTCGAAAAGTTATTATGTTAAAAGGACTACGTAATTCATTTAATTGAACGATTTATTTCATATTTGTTTTTGAGCTACTAAAATAAATTCTTATAAACTGTGCGAAGCTAAAAGTCCAGCTTCTGTTTAATTCATTTGTATAAAAGATTAAGAAAGTAATTCGTTTTTTCAAATTTAGATTCTATATATCCAGAAACAACGTTTATCAAACTTAGCACAAATCTCTAGATTAATATCACGACGCTTGTTACGATTTTACACGGCGCTTTCGCAGTTAACTCAGATTAGTAAAGAAAAGTTCCATGAAAACTCTAAAGAGAAAAAAATACCACGCCCTTTCAAGACGTTAAATAGAAGTCATTATCCCGTGGTAGCGAGCCAAACCATTTCGCTTCCAAAGTTGAACAACTGTAACTGTCGTTCTCTAGAAAGAATGAAGCGAAAGGCGAAAAACTAAACAATCGTCTGCATTTCGATGAGAAGATGGATGCGTATGCAATTGTGCTTAATAAGATAGGAAGGTCCGGTAACCTGGGAGTATTATACTTTCTTTATGACCCACTTTCTTTTTAAGATTCTTAAAGAAAATAAAATTTGCGCATCGGTTTTAGAATCAGAGAATATGCGTGTTGTAGATTTTATTTCCTTAACTTTGCTTGTTATTCTAAATTAGATTACGAAAAGGTAAAGCTAAATACGATTACAAATATTTTTTTAGGTCGTTTGACTTTCGATTTATATTCACATAATATGAATATGCTGATATGTTCATAACTTTGCAGCAGATCGTAACTTTAAATAAAAAATGAAATTTTCTAATTAATCATAATTAAGAACGAAATATGACTGATTAATACTTAGATTAGTGGTCTCGAACTCAGATTGCATGTGGGATGAATGCACAATCTGAAAATAACTGACGGACCAAAGTTTTTTTTAAATGAATTTTTTAACAAAAAAAAAAAAAAAAAAAATTAAAATTAATTTTAAATTTCGCTTGCTAAATATTTACATTTATTGTCACGTTTGTGATCTAATAAGTCAGCTTCAGTCTTTTGACTTGCTAATGATGCTAAAATACATCTAAAATTTTTTTTAGAATACTCCAATTTATTAACAAGAGCTGTAAAGTTTATTTATGTTAATCAACCAGTTATTTTATATTCTGAATCTGTATTGTCACTTCTCTCTTTCTTTTTTCCTGCTGGAATGCAAATTAGCTCACGTATTTTTAAGTGAGAGTTTGAGATTTGTGTTCTGCCTCCTGAAGGCCATGTTTCTAATTGTTATTCTAAGATAAGAATTCCTGACCTATTCTTCCCGTTAGTACTTTCACGCCGGTAAAAGTCTAAGAGCTAACTTTCACCGGCTTTTTAGAGTCACTTTAAAGAGTTTAAATTTCTTTGCGTAGCCGTTGGTTAATTTTTACTTAGATTTAGTTTTAAATTTAAAATTCTATTTTGAGCTCACGCCATAAAGGCTGGCTGATTTATAAGCACCAATTGAGCCTTCTGTTCAAATGACTTAGTTTTCAATTAAACGGTCTTTTACTCCTTTCTAAAGTTTCTGTTTCATCTTAGACATAGCGATAAGTCAATTACAGTTTTATTGAGGAACTGCCACTAGTTACAATTAGTAAAAAGGTATATTCGTGGATATATGCACAGTAATAAAACATTTAGCTAATTAGTAACTTAAAAAATTAATTATTTTGGAATAATTCATAATTTAAAAAGAATTATATGCTAACACACATCTTGTTTTTAGCGATGATATATGGAGATATATGATGATATATGGGGGAGACAGGGAAATCTTAGAACGAAGGCTCTATGATTTATTAATGTAATTTGAAACAACTAAAATATGGTTGCATGAGCAGATAGGCGTTGATCAGTAACAGTAATTTCGAAAACGACATTCATTCAGCAAGAGCTCTGTAACCGCAGCTTATTAATTTCTGTTACAACCCAGCTCTTTTTTTTTTATTTTTATTATAATTTGTGTTAAACAAACAAATATCTTTCCTAAATTAAAAAAAAAATACTTGAACAATACTAAGCTGTAATTAAAATAATAGATGTGTTTTTGAAAGGATAATATTAAAATAATTTTAGCGTTTAGTTCTTTAGTACCGTATTTCTCAACGAATGAAGCGAAAATTTGATATTTAAATATGCATTTTATGCCCCCTCATAAAAGTTCTAAGTCCGCTTCCCCAAAAGAAAAAAAAAAGTTTTTACTTTCCCTTCTGTATCTGATGAAAACTATCTAAAATTTTTTAGAACAACACATTAAGTATAAATTTGAATTATAAAAGCATGATAATATTAGACATCAGATGCATTCTACATTTCCTCGAATCTTTTGAATCATTTATGTACAAATAATAGTTAAAAAAAAAAACATTTAATGCTGAAAATTTTCAATTGAAAACAAAATCTGAAATTTGTGTTTAAAAAAAAAAGGTAATACAGTTCTTCAAATTGTTTTTATATTTATAAAGAAAATACAAATGAAATTTTATAAATAAAGTGTATAATTAAAAATTCTGGAACCTTAAATGAATTTTTTTTCAGCAAAATTTGACAAAATGTACATGAGTTACAATTTAAAATTTTCTTTTGATTTTCCGCAAACCTAAAATCAAAGCAAATGCAGTGGAAAAAGGATTATTTCAAGAGTCAACATGAAATAAACATTAAACATGGAACACTAAATTCAATCCAAAAAATTAACAGTACAACTCCAATTATCCGAACTCCGACTATCCGAATCGCTTTCAAAATTTAAGAGAAAATTTAAGATGGAAACGTAGTGTTGGATAATCAACGATTTCAGACATTAAAAGAAGCAACTTTAAACTTTCCGTGAAAACGAAGATAGAAGTTTTTCAAGAAAATGAGTGAAGGTAGCAACAAACAAAAATTTAGAAAATGTCGTTTTCAAGTTTTTTTTTTTTTTTTTTCCTTTTTTTTTTTTTTTTTTTTTCACAGCAACGTTTTACGAGAAACCCAATTTCGGGTTCGATTCTTTATGAAAAAGCTAAGATCCTAGCTTAGAAGCTTGGTTGTTCATCATTTAAAGCGAGAAACGGCTGGCTAAGAAATTTTAAGTGCAGGTATGGTGTCCGTCAAACAGCTTATTTTGACCGAGACGAGATGTTCAGCAAGCAATGACTTTCAGCACTTGTAAGTACTGTACAGTACGTTATATAATACATTAAAGTTTTGCCTTTTCATTTTAATTTATTAAAACCTGTTTTTCTTTCAAAAATAATTTTTTCTCCCATTTTCAACACACACTACATACAGTAATTAATTAAACTGTACGTAGACGCTTTCTTTGGAAAAAATCCAGTTATCCGAATTTTGAATTATCCGAATGAGGCACTTGCTCGTCAAACGGCTCACTGCGAGATGTTCAGCACTTGTGAGTACTGAACAGTACGGCTATATAACATGTACGTAAAAGTGTTGCCTTTTCATTTTAATTAATTAAAACCTCTTTTTCTCTAAAAATAGTTTTTTTCTTTCATTTTCAACATACTGTACATACATACGTTAATTAAAGTGTACACATATTCTTTCTTCGGAAAGAAAATAAAAATATCCAAAAGGAATCCAGTTACAATTGATTTGGATAATTGGAGTTCTACTGTATTCACTCAGGGCTGACACGCGCTGAATAATATCAGTGAGCCAGATCCACCGAGACTGCAACAATCGCGTTATTTTTTAATGAAGGCTTTCTGCTGAATGTCAATAAAACTATTTTTTTTCCAAAGTTATGAGTTAAAGCTTTAATAGTTGTTAGACTAAAATTCAAAAGGTTCAAATGATGAAAAAAGAGAGAAAGAGAATATTCTTTTCATGCGATATGAGGAATCGAATGCCCAATCTCTAGTTAACAATAATATTCATTATCAGTAATCACCATACTACAGCCTTGATCAAATAAGATGCGACTTTCTAGAATAGAAGATATCTATGCCTAACATTGGAAAATTTAAGCTAAAGTATTTCATTTTGTAAATACTATTCTTATCACCTATTTTTTTTGTAATTTATATATTAGAATACATAAATTAATTATTACAATGAACAGAAATTTTATGTTGCTTATTTTGGTCAGGTAAATTTGCTGATTGGAAGATATTTGTAATAAGCAGAAGAAAGATTTGTTTCGTTGTTTAGCATTTGCATGCAGATGGATTTTTGTGTTTGGTTTACTTAAAAAACTTTACTGATTTCATTACAGATTCTGCGGCATCTGTTGGAAAATATTTTTATTTATTTGTTGATGTCTACAGACGCTTGTTTCCATGACACTGCCAGGCAGATGTTTTGTCTATGTCTTCAAGCAAATACTAGCTGCGAGGGGATTTGCCAAGATGACTTACACCGACAGGTGTGCATCGAGAAAAACCTGATAATCACGGTGCGATGAAATGAAGGCAAGAAGTGAAGGTCACGTCCAGCAACAATAGCGGTTTTGTCCCAAGTTCCCCCTGTCTTGGGATTTCTATTGCCGCATTTTCGATGTTGAAAATTTCAAGAAGCGGAAAAAAACTGTTTTGTGTTTCCTGGTCAAGGGCTGAAAAAAATTGTTTAACTATAAACAATTCAAAATTTTCCTTTTGTTTCGGAGGAATTACAATTAGTGGAATCTCAAAGGTCATGTTTCAAATGCTGGGCATCATTCGCTCCAAGAAAAGTGCCGGATAATAATATTACTGTACTTTCTATATTATAAGTAAATAGTAGATTCCAGCGAAGTATTAAAAAAAAATTACATTCAAGATAAGTTATGCATTTTGTATGTAAACTAGTGTTAGCCTTGCGTTTAGATAATTTGCAATATTTATTCTATCGCATCTTAATGACTATTTATAATGTCTGAAACTAGCATTTAAAGAACGTCCATGTTACTGACATGCCTACTTGTAGCCAAATAGGTAATACACTGGCTGTTCGACCCGGGTTCACATTCTGACAAAAGGGTTGACTGCATGTTATTTCTGGTATGTGTAACGTAAATACGAGTCAGTTTTTCGGAGATACTCCTTCATGAAGACATTCGTCTCCTTAAACAGGTTTGGATTAAATTATTTGATTCTCATAAAACATGTTATGGCGATCTGTCTAAGAAAAAGGATGTCATCTTCGATGTCATTCTAGGAGAACCGCACTCATATTCATGTTACAATTGAACGCTTATTTTTCTCCACGTTACATATGAATCACGAAAAAACCTATGCAGTCAGTTTGTGCGCCGGTGTTTGAAACATAGATCGAACACCAGCGTTCAGTAGTCTTATCCATTTATACCCATACACAGATAGTTGTCGAGTACTTTGCGCCATTACTATTATTAAACAGTTAAGAATCTGCCGTCTCTGTTGGCATGCACGTATTTCCTGGCATGGTGGGAAAACTCACAGCTACCCATTTTTGAACACACAGTCCTTCAACCGAAAATTCGCATAGTTCTCTCACACACACCTTGAACATCGAATTTTAAATTTTGAATTTGTATTTTATTGACTTAATATTTTAAGTGATTTAGCGTATTTTCTAAGCAAAAATGTAGTGTTCGATCTACCGCTTTTAGTTAGCCAGTTAGTTCTTAGATCAGCGATCTCCAAATCTTTTTGATGACTAAGACGAATATAATTATAAGCTGTGCTCGATATCATACAATACAATTTAATGTAATATAATATAATGTAATATAGTAATGCTACGAATTTTGCAAATAAGTAAATAATTTCGGTGAAATTATATGTCAGTTGTAGTATCTCTTGCATAATATAAAATTAAAGGCCTTAAGCGTAAGAAGCATCCCAGAAAAAACAGGGTTACAGGGGTAAGTCCATTTTGAGGAAAATTGCTATCTCACCAAAGTGGCGATATCGCGCTGAGCTAGATATGGTTTTTCGCGACTAATTTTTTCGCCAAATTTGGCAACAATTCACCAAAATTTGCCAACCTGGGCGATCATTTGGGCGACATTTTGGTCCGATCTCTACATAACTGCAACTCGTCCGACACCTATGTAACTGTAACGGTATGCCTTTTAGCAATTTCGAGAAACCGAAGGTACTGAATGTTTCTCAGCAGCTGGGGAAAGTCAGAGTATTGAGAGATCGCTGTGCAAGCTTACGCAATTGATGTTTTTTGTATTTTTCTGCGTTCTTAGAAGTTTGAAGTGGAAACTACTGATTGTGCTGTGTCATATTGACAAGAGCTGTGCGAATACTTTTGTGTGAAAAGTTCCAGAACTGTCAAGTGGTTTGGGAAAACTAAATTTCATCAAGCTATTATTGGTTCTGCGTGCCGTCAATCCGCTATGGTCTCCAGCGCAGGTAACAACATGATGTAATATACATGCACTATAAAGCCAAATCAGTTATGATGTTGAGTTTTCCAGACTCTAGTGAAATCAGACACAGTGACCAACGACAGAACCTCGCATTCTCGTAATAGACGATCTTACAATGACAAATGAATTGTGAGCCTTCTTCTTTGGCAGCCTTTCTTCAAGTATCACTTTGCGAGTCCCAATGTCTTGCGTAAAATACTATTTTCAAGATCGAATGTGTGATACAATGAGAAGAAAATAAATTATTAAAATAACATAAAGATGTCGTCAATCTAGCGATGCTTTCGGCGACTAATTTTTGTCGCGAAATTTGGCAAGAAGTAACCAAAAGTCGCCAAACTTGGCGACCACCTGTCGTCATTTTGATCCGGTCTCTGTATAACTGTAACTGGCCTAAATGCCGATGTAACTATAACAGTATCGGGCCTTTATGTGTGACTAGCCGTATATACCTTCCAGTAATTTCAAAGGATGCCAGGTACAGAAAATTTCTAACTATTTAAAATTGGAGAGAGAGATAGCTCTCAGGTTTTTTCAATTTTTTTAAAAATAATTTTATCAAGCTATCTTTGGTTCTGTGTGCATTACGAACCGCTAGCAGCAACAATTTTTGGTATCAGAAGTATGACTGAATGCTGGTGACAAGAGCGATGGAGGATCACATAAGTCAACTGGTGTCAGACTTTGCTGCATTTAAAGAATTAAAAGCGGAATAAGAATCTGCTACGGAAGAGATGAAAGCGAGCCAAGAAAAGATGGAAGAGTCTGTCAAATCAGCTCGAGAGAAGAGGGAAGGAGCCGTCAATAAAGTTCAATAAGAGACTGAAGCAGTCTAAGAGGAAGACTGAAGCAGTCCAAGAGGAAACGAAAAGAGAAAGTACTGCATAATAGAGTACAAATTCGAGCTATAAAAAGCAGAAAAGAACCTGATGAAAATAAAGTTGGAGAAACTGAAGAAAAAATTCCTTCTGCCGCACAATAAATTAGGAAAAAGAGTTTCTGCTGTCGAACAACAAATCCATTACAGAGTTTCTGCTGTCGAACAACAAATCCATTACAAAGTTTCTGCTGTTCTCGCCCAGCAAGTTGACAGCTAAAAGAAATCCATAGTTAGAGCAGGAAACAATTCTGACGCTTTTAAATTCATCATTTTAGTCATGTCGCCCCGTCTCTCTCTAAAGCTATTCCTCTTTGACGGAAAGATCTCCTGGCAACTGCACAAACTCAGTTCTGTGAACTTAAACAGATAGGATTCCCAACTTAAGGCCAGTCATCTGGCCGCATCGGTGAGAGCAGACGCCACGGATATCTTTCAAACTCTGTCCGAAAACCTAGGCTTCGAAGTACTAACCGGCACGTTGGAGCTGTAGTTTGACACGAAGTATTTAAAAGACTATAACAGGCTTCAGTTAAAATCTTGCCAACAGAAGCCCATGAAAATACTCCAGGAGCTTGACTCGGATATCGAATTTCACCTCGGCTTTTCGGACTGCACAAGAGAAACAAGGGAAATCCTATCCCAACAGTACTCTACCGATGACATCCTTCATCCTGCTATACAAAAGGCCCTGCGAATGGCAGATATCAAGGATCTAAAAAGCGCTTCAATGTACGCCGTGAAGTTCTAGGAAGCTACAAAACTCCTATACATGGATATTGAATCAAAGCTGCACCGAATCAAAACTGCTTATGCAGGAGCCAGTGGAATCAAGTGACCGCTTGGTCTAGATGATTTAACCATGAAATTCGGTTTCTTAAAGAGAAACTGATTCTAAAGAGAGGCGACAAACTGATTCTCGAGCTGCGGTTGTGTACGTACAGAAGGCTTACGAAGGAGCTACAGAACACTCCACGACACGGAGCTAAAAACGCTTCCATCGAAAGGAGGGAAACTAATTATTGGCCATCTCGTCCAGCGAGATGGCCATACTAATTTTATATACTATTTTTTTAGTATATAAAAGTATATTAGTGGCGAATATATTAATTAGTATATATTCGCCAGTCTAGGAGAAAAATCACTTGGCGACATTTTGGGCCGGTTTCTGTATAACTGTAATTGGTCTAAATGCCTATGTAACTGTACTGTCTCCAACATATGTTAACTGTAACATGTTAACTGCAGAGGGGAAAACTTTAAAAGAGCCGAGAGAGCATCGGCTTTCAATTTTTAGTTCAAAGTAGACTTCGGAGTATGGGAAGAGTATGGAAAGATCGCCACACAAGCTCTGTTTTTAGATGCACTTTGAATTGCATTGTGTATAATATTCTTATCAGTTTGAATGGGTAACTACTGATAGTGCTCTGTCATATTGAGAAGAGTTATACGAGTACTTATGTGGAAAGTTCCAGAACTGCAAAGCATTTCTTTCGAAAAAATAAATTTCATCAAACTAGCATCTTTTCTGTTTGCATTAAATCCATTACAAACCTGTACGCATGCATCAATACTGTACTGACATATTATTAAATTATATTTTCTAAAACAATTACAATAACGAATTTCTGTGATAATTACGATGTATTGTTACGTGCTTACGGGTTCGTGATGGGCTGAATGCAAACAGAGCTGTTTATAACTTGATGAAATTTGTTTTCGCAAAAACACTTTACAGTTCTGAAACTTTTCACACAAAAGCATTTATACAGTTCTTCTCAGTACGACAGAGTACAATCAGTAGTTACCACATTAAACTACTAGGAACGTGTAAGACAAGACAATGCGAAGTACATCTAAAAGCGGAGCTCTCACTGTGCTCTCACAGTACTTTGAACTAAACTGAAAACTGCTGCTCTCTCCGGGATTTATACAGTTTTTCCTCGTTCGCCGAGAAGTTTTCAGTACCTTCGATTTCTCGATATTGCTGGAAGGCATAGAAAGTTACAGTTACATACAAGCGGATGTAATTACAACTGCACAGAAACCAGACCAGTTATATCGGGATTTGACACAGGAATATGACCAAAATGTCAGCAAGGCTGAAGACTTTTCGAGATTTCTTGCCAAATTTTTCTACAAAAATTAGTCTCCCAAACCATTGCCGGTTTGGCACTATGTCTCCAATTTGGCAAAATAGCCATTTACTTCAATGTTCAATGGACATCCTCCCGTAACCCAATTTTTCCGTCGATACTTTGCTTTCTGAGGCATTCATGTTACATTATACAAGACATACTACAATTTACATATAATTTCACTAAAATTATTTACATATGTACGAGATTCGTAACAGTATTTTGGGGTGTAACGTTCCCCCTCTCTGAAGACCACTTGGTCACCCGCCCTAAAAAAGGAACAGAGAACCCTTTGCTCGCCTCGG